CCCTCCCCCCAAAAAAAGAAAGAAAAAACGTTTAATATGTCCAAAAAATTAAAGATTACCAAAACTTTTTTTTTACCAGACCACGAAGGAATAAAGTTAGAAAGCTGAAATTTGTTACTGATCTTTATCTTTCTCTATGTTGTCGCCTCCGACAGTTTTTCATTTTTGTCATCCGTGTATGACCTTGAAACGACCTTGAAGAAAACTAGCCCTCTACCGCTTTTCTGACCTCGTCATCACTTTCAAAATGCCTTCCTTTTTAAATTCTTTTTCACTTTGAGGAATTAAACAAAAGTCGGACGGGGCTAAATCTGGAGAACAGGGGGGATGTGGCGAAATTTTATAGCCACTTTCTCACACAATTTCCTCAGCTTTTCTTGAAGTGTGTTCTGGGGCGTTGTCGTAAAGTAGCGAAACGCCGTTTCGGATCTTTTCTCTGCGTTATTTTTCATAGCCTCTCGTAATTTTTTTTAGCTAGTTAGAATAATTTTCTCCGGTGATCGTATGTCCATTTTCAAGATAGTCTGTCATAATCACTCTTTCTTGGTCCCAAATAAACTGATAGCATCACTTTTCCACTTGATGGCTGCACCTTTGTCTTCTTTGATGTTGGAGACAAGGGCGATTTCCACTGCATTGATGAAGATTTTGACTCAGGATCGTAATGGTGGACCCATGTGTCATCCGTGGTTACAAGTCTTTCAAAAAAATTTAGTTTCTTCCTTTTCATATAGACCAAGCAATTTTTGACAACAATCCACACGTCGCTCTTTTGAGGAGGAGTCAACAAACGTGGGACCCATCTCGCAGAAACCTTGGTCATATTCAAATGTTCTTTTAAGATTCGTTCAACGGATCCAATGTTAAACCTAGTTTCTATGCTCAAACATTTGACTGTCGCCTGTGTATCAGACAACACAAGTTTCTTGAATTTTCAACACAATTTCTTCTGTTGTTGCTGTCACTGGGCGACCATCACAGTTGTCATCTTCAACGTCCATGAATCCACATTTGAATTTTTTACTCTAAAATTTATCACAGCATAGGATGGGCGATCGGTTCCGTATACGGCATGCATCTCCATAAAAGTATCCTCTTGTAGTTGCTTGCTTTGCAAGAACAAAAACCTCATAACTGCCCTGTGCTCAATTTTCTCTATTTTTATGTTGAAACTGGAGAACAACATACCCCCATTCACTTACAGTGCCCAGGTGTTAAAAGCAGTAATTGGAAATTCCCCCAAATGCATGCATTCTAGGAAGATGGTTGTTGGCTTTCACCCCAGATTTCAGCTTTCTACCTTTATTCCTTCATGGTCAGGTAAAAAAAAAAAAACTTTTGGTATACCCCTCGTAAGTCCCGCCCTTTTGCTGCACTCTGTCATGCCAGTGTGCCAAACCTGTTTCTCTCTGCTCACAGCTCCCCCTCCCCCTCCCCTTCCCCTCTTCCCTCTCCTCGCCCCCCT